GCACAGTGGGACCATAGGAAAGTGTCTTGGATGTACTCCTTCCTCTGTTGGAATGTTCTATCATCAGCCTGACACTTGTGACCCTAGCTGACTGAGATGGAGGCTGTGGTCACTGTTCCAGCAGCCTTTCTGTTTGTCCTGCATTTGTGCTTGGTCAGCTCTCTGTGTGGAGCACCCCAGCTGCATCAACAGAGGAGGTTTGGAAGGGAAACTGTCCGGAAAGCTGAGGACTCAGGAGGGCATTTGATTGACGCACACTGTGGAGCACCAGCTGTCAGCGCTAGGGCAGGAACAAAAATCATAGTTTTGAGGAGTCTCTCTGTCAGGAGTTGATAGAAAAGCTGATTGCAAGCATCCGATGCTTCATTGTCTTGTGGGCAGTGCTGAGACAAGTGGAGGGGAAAACGAGGTGTAAGATTCTAAAGCTTTACACAAGGTAGAACGTTGTGTGAATGCCAAATGATTGCCATTTGGTGGTGGGATTCTTTATACTTTTCTGTTCTTGAGCGTGAGTTACGTTTAATTAAGAGAAAGTGAGTGTCTTAAGCTGCCTTGGGAATGAATGATTGAACTGTACAAATCCTCATTTATCCTTCCTTCTTCCCTAGGGTCACACTGTACCAGGGATGCTCAGTTTTCGCCAAAGAAGTGCTACATCTTTATAGCCTCTCAAACCAATTCCTGAAAAAAAAAAAAAGTAAATATAAAGGAAATCGTAGAGATTAAGAAAGAGCTCTGAGCTAGAAGTAGGTGGAACCAGATTATTGTACCTACTTCTTGTTGTTCAGTGGTGTTGAATTGGATCTGACTCATAGTGACCTTGTATAAGATTTCCAAGGAGTAGCTGGTGGGTTTGAACCACCAACTTTGTGGTAGTTAGCAGCCAGGACTCCTTACTAATGTCTAGTTGTCTGGCCTTGGGCAGGTAGCTTAAGATGCTTCTCTGACCCTCAGTATCCTCATCTGTTATGGTTGTTGTTAGCTGCAGTTGAGTCGGCCTCTGACTCATGGTCACCCCTACACCATGGAATAAAATGCTGCCTAGTCTTGGACCATCCCCATGATGAGTTGTAGTCCGAAGAACTCTTACTGGTTGACTTTTGGAAGTGATCCCTAGGCCTTTCCCCCTCGTCTATCTTAGTCTAGATGCTCTGCTGAAACCCATTCAGCATCCTTGCAACACACAAGCCTCCAATGACAGACAGTAGTAGCTGCACATGAGAAATATTGGCCAGACGTTGAACCTGGGTCTCGTCCATGGAAAGCAAGTATTCTACCTGTGAAACATCGCTGTCCCTCAGCTTCACTTATAGACTAGATTTATACTACTTTCCTTTCCTACTTGTATGGGTTGCTGTAAGGACCAAATGAGGCATCAATAGGAAAATTTATGAAGGTCAAACTAATGACAGTAGATACCTTACTTTTTTGCTTGTAGTTAATATTTAGCTTTTGCCTGGGTTTCTGAAGGTAAGTGAGTTGCTTTTAAAATTAGTTCACATCTTAGGAATTTTTTTTTCAAACATGGGACTGGCCTTGCCTTTTCTCTTTTGTCTTGATAAAGAGGGTAATTTTATTAGGCAAAATCCTAAAAATCTGTTTTACCTGAAGACTCTGACATCATTGCTGATCATGTGATCAAGGTCTGAAATGTATTTTTGTGCAACTGATGAAAATTTCAGAGTTCTTAAGCTGTCTATTCTATGTTAAGCTTTTCTTGGTGCTTCAACAGAGCCTCATGAAATGTCTACCCATTGTACAGTGGGACCTGAATGGCATGTTGAACGACTTGAGAATATCAAGGGATTAGGGCAAGGAGTAGTGGATAACAGCAGTGAGGAAACGTGAAGCTCTGGTAGGGACATGGTACGTTCCAAGAGCTTAGGCTCTTCTGGAATGTTAGCTAAGCTAAAAGGCCATGTCCTTAACCAAAAGTTAATAAGTAGTCTAGTCTTGGGGACACCATGGTCAAGTGGCAAAACATAGTCCACAAAGACAGTGTTCTACATCCTACTTTGGTGAGTAGTAACTGGGATCTTAAAAACTTACTAGCAGCCATCTAAGGTACAACTATTGGTCTTCCCACGTGCAGAGGATTTGAAAATTTGAAACACTTGGAATCAATTAGTACCATGACTAATGGAACACATGAATTAGTTCAGTGACTAATAGAAGTCCATGACCTTGAGATCAGAACTAGATAGTGCCCAGTTATGACTATGAACTGCTCTGAAATGGATCACATGAGAAGGTCCTGGAAAGAGTGGGAGAAAACATGGAACAAAAGACAAATTTATAATAAAGATCAGGCTTACAGATCAGAAAGAGACTATAGGAACCCAAGTCTACAGCCCTCAGTCACCCTTCAGTCCTGAAGCTGTCTTAATTTTCTTAACATGTCTCATGTCTTAATTTTCAGCTAAGTAATAGATAAGTATATAAGAGGGACAACCACACTAGTAAGATATGCTCATCACTGAATGGTCAACCATTCAAGATCAAAGTACAGCATTTATGTAAGGTAAAAACTCAGAAGGTGGAAAGAAGGGTGGAATGGGGGAAAAAAAAAAATCTCAGGTAGGAAGTGGAATACCTGATGTTACATGGAGGGGATTGCAGTCAACAAGTGGGTGGTGTGTGGAAAAGTGTGACTTGTTGAATGTAAAACTGATGATCTTCTCTGTAAACCTTCACTCCATTCACAATCAAAAGTTTAAAAACAAACAAACAAACAAACAAACAAACAAACAAACAAACAAACAATGCAATGATCTTGGTACTCTAGTTGAAGCTATAGATTTTGCACTGCCAGCATCCAAGTTGTCCAGAGATTCTTGGAGAGCTCTGGAAGATGGAAGCCAAGATTAAAATAATGAAACTGGGGTGAGGGGCTTTCTAGCAAAGCCTACCAAGAAGTGGGCAAGTTGCAGTCTCCTGGCTGATTGGATACACCGTCAGGAAGACCTGCACGGGACAGTTCTGGCTCCTTCTAATGACTGCCAGTCTGGAGGCAGCCCTTGAGAGAAGCAGGACCAAGGCTTTCAACTCAGCTCTTGCTAGAGTGTCTTGACATGAGCCACTTGGCCTCCTTGGACCTCAGTGGTGGGACACTGGGTCTTGGGGCTGATGTGTGAGGAACAGGTGAATATTTGTGAAGTACTTTCCCAGGTGGAAACTGCTGTTGCTGAACAAATGTTTGCGGGTAATGACCATGTGAAACATGAGAGGAATGTGCTCATTAAAACTGGAAATAAGTGTCTTGCATCTGCCTCCTCCGTGTGAACCGCACAGGGAAACCGCTTTTGGCCGCTTGTTTGGTCTGCTGTAGCCCACAATGTAGGGCCAAGGTGGTGTGTGGAGGAGTTAACTCAGATATTTCGGAACACCTATGGAACAAGACAGAATGCAAAGGTGACTTACCCTCCCCTTGCCCTTGCTGGACTCAGTCTAGGTAGGGCAATAGACTGATAACTAACAATTATAGCATGCAGTGAGCCGTCTGACATAAGGTATGTCTGCAGTACTATGGACACAGGACCAGAGGATAATTCATTTTGCCTGAGGGTAGGTTGAAACCAGAGATAATGTGTGGATTGGACTCTGACTGACACGTAGGAGTTTACGCTGTAAATGAGAATGGCAAGGCAAGAAGCGGAGGGTCCCTAGGAAGGACTGGGCTGAAAGGGTTGGGAATGGTAAGAGCCAATACTGAGTGTTGATTCTCCGCTGACTTTATGCAGGCTCGAGAGGGAAGATGGCACTGGCCCTGTGGGGAGTGAGGGAACCAGGGCCAGGTCTGAGGAGGGGAGCACATGGTTGTAGCCAAGCCTCAACCAGACGTTTGAGGAGCTGAGGTGCAATCCAGGCAAAGTGTCCAGCCATGGAACTGCATTTGGAAATACCAACATTTGGGTGGGCTGTGGTGGAAGAGAGAGGCTGTGGGGGTGATGTTGATCAAGTCCTTGACCGGACTTGATGTTGATGTTGAGGGTCTCGGCAGCACCCATTCTGGCCCATCCTGAGTAGCATCTGAGGAGCTGAACCAAGTGAGGGAACTGGCTCTCCACCATTGACTCTTCTCTGCAGGTGGCCCAGGTGGTCCTTTTGTGCTCCAGGGATTGAGTCACCCTGGGAACAGCAAGGCCAGGGCATCTGCAGGGAGGCTGTGCACAGCACCAAGCCTGCCCAGTTCAGCACTGGCCAGTGTGATTCCAGCACCGCTGCTCAGGTGCTGGGGGCGGTGCCTTCTCCAGATCACTCTGCATGCAGCAGTGTTCAGGATGGAGAGAATGGGGCCAGAAGAAATATTTGGAGTGAGTCCAGGCTCGAGGGGGGCAGTCTGGGACCCATGCAGGGTGGGCGGAAGGGCTGGTTTAGAAGAAAGGTGAAGGAGCAGGCCTTTGGGCATGAGGGGACTGCCTGGGTGTGGGGCTTCTACCTGGGTGTGGGGTTCAGGAGGAAGGAAGAGGAGGGTGAGGGAAAAGGGTTTGGGATGTTTGGGATGTGAGTGTGTGGCAAGGCCCCCACTGTAGGTGGTAACAGCTTCCATTCATCCTCTGGACCACATAGTATGGGCATTGCTGGCATTCACACAGCTGCTGCCCCACCCTACGGCCTTTCCTGTACCTATGCAGGCCCCAGCCAGGCCCCTTGTCCCTGTTGCACCCATCAGCCAATCTCCAAATGCCCTGAGATGGGCCTTTCTTCCTCCCCATGCTCTCATTCCCTCCTGTCCTCCTGTGCATTTTCATTCCTTCCACCTCCCCTGGGTACAAGGGGTTGGATGACTGCCTCTGGAAGTGAGGTCCAGAGTTCGGGAGGGAAGTATGAAGAAGAATGGGCAATTTTGAAGAGGGGCTGACTCTTCACCCTTCTTGAAGTTTGTTGACTACCATGCCCCCTAGTGGTTGATTTTTCAGGGAGAACCAGGAGGAGGGTGTACATGGAGAGCCCTTAGAAGCCCCTAGACCATCACTGACTAGTGGTCCTGTGCTTTCTAGGATCTGAGCTCCTTCGCCATGCCGCTTCTGGATGGAGACCCAGACAGCTTGGAAAAGCATTCTAGAAAGGTAAGCTGCCTTCCTTTCAGCTTCTCACAGCTCACCTGGGGGCGGGGGGGGGGGGGCGCCAAGGTGCTGCCCACTGTGGTGGACACTGGAGCAGGTCACTGCACAGGCTCAGACCCTCTCCACACCTGCTGCCCCACCTGAGAGCGCCCTGCGCTCTGCTCCTGTTCCTCATTGTCCCTCTGAGCCCAACTATTGTGGTTAAATGCTCCCCAAGTGAGTAACAGCCATGAGAGAGCAGCAATGAGCTGGCCACTCAGGGACCAAGTAGCAAAGCAGGGAGATGACCCCATTGATGGATGTGTGATTTGGAGTCATCTGGAGTTTTTGGCTACTCTCTTGCAGAGACACAAGTTCCCCACCGGAAGTCTACTTCTGGTCTCCCCTTACACCTGATTCCACCCCCACTCCTCTTGGTCCAGATGCCACTGCCCCTTTCCTTCTCTTTCCTCTCACTTGATGCTTTTTCCTGGGCCTCCCTCTTATCTACTGATCTCACACCTGACCCCACTGATTCATTTCTCTTCTGTTAGGAAACCGGTGTCTCCGCCAGGTATCCGGATATGCTAGACCTGGAAACCCAAAGGGAGTGTGTGAGGGTGCTGTTGTTAAGTATCTTGGAGTCGGTCCAACTCATAGTGACCCTACATAGGGTTTCCAAGGCTGTAAATCTTTTTTTTTTTTAATTAAATGTTTTTATTTTGCATTGAGTGAAAGTTTACAGGGCACATCATCAGCTTCACATTCAACCATTCATATAGCTTGTTTCATTACATTGATTATTATCCCCGCCATGTATCATCAGTTTACAGTGTTTCTCTCTATCCTCTTTAGCTTTTTTTTTTTTTTTTTGGATGGTGGGGGGGAAGGCTGTAAATCTTTACAGGAGCAGAATGCCTCATCTTTCTCCCACGGAACAGCTGGCAGTTTCGAACTGCCGACCTTGAGGTTGGCAGCCCGACTTGTAACCACTACTCTATCAGAATGCCTTGTTGTCGTTGTTAAGTGCCATCAAATCAGTTCCAACTCAGATCGACCCTGTATAGGGTTTCTGAGGAGCAGCTGGTGAGTTTGAACCACCGACCTTGCATATCAGTGCTTTATCCTACAGCGCCACACCAGGACTCTTAGCAAAGTAAATGGGATAAAAGCAGAACTGGGAGGGACAGGTGGCCAAGCAAGAAAGACTGGACACAGGCAGGTCTGAGAGTAGAGGCACAGAATGAAGCCTGACTCCTGGGCTCCAGGTGTGCTGGCGGGTACTAGGGCAGAACAGTGCTGTACAAGGCCATGTATTTCCTAAACATTTTGAATTGCATGCCGTTGACTGGTTTAGTGGTAATTGATTTAGAACTGTAGGATAAAATCAGCTCTTCTCCCTGGCCAGCACCTCAACAAGCAGTGGTGGGCCCATCCAGAAGTGGCTCACAGAGAATGCTGTGGCTGTGGCCTCCAGAGATTCCTGGGTTAGCAGGGAAGATGTGAAGGAGCAGGGAGGAACGGCTGCCACAAAAGGCTTCCTTCACACAAGTGAGTTCTGATGGAAGGATTCAGACTGAGGGAGACACCCAGAGTTGCTCTGGCTGGGACAGGCCAATAGGGCTGGAGTCTCATGTAGTTCAATTCTGACCCCATTGGTGGCACCTCAAAAGGGTTTCTGAATAAAGTTTTTGTCACAAATGAATTGTATTAGTCGGGAAAGAGACCGAGACCATGATGGTCAGCGCTGTGGCACTGGACTGCTAACCACAAAACTGGTGGCTCAAATCCGCCAGCCACCCCTTGGAAACCCTATACAGGGTCACTATGAGTTGGAACTGACTCCACGGTATGACCAGCGTGTGTTCTCAGCAATACAGGCTACAGAGGACTGGAGGAGTCCAAGTTCTTTACTAACTGGGGGGTTGGAGTAGGGAGATGTTTGTTCTCTATCTTTTTGGTAAAGTATGTATAATAAAGAGGCCTGGTATGGTGCTATAGGATAAGCACTGGACTACTAACTGCAAGTTTGGCAATTCAAAGCCAGCAGCCACTCCTTGGAAACCCTATACAGGGTTGCTTTGAGTCAGAATCGACTTAAAGGCAGTTAGCAACAGCAGAAATGTATATAACAAAACATTTGCCACCATGCTCACTAGGTTGTGTAATTATCACTACTCTTCACTTCCAGAGTTTTCTATGGAAGTATGAAACCGCTTCCTCGGGATTCCCACTGATTTTTTTTTTTTTTTTTTTTTTTGCTAACCCCACCCCATCCTCATCCCAGTGTGGCCTGAGAGGGCAGCCACTTCCTCCTCCTGACCTGACAACTGTCAGCTCCACTTCCTATTAGAGCCCAGTAGCCTTGATTCTCTATTGGCTTTACAAGTCTTGTCTTTCTGCAAGTGGGTTTGGTGACTGCTTACGTGAACAAGTCTACAAATTGCCTGTCAAGGGCTTCCTTCTTCCCCTGCCAAGTTTTGACCCTTAAATTAATAGTCTGGTTCAAAATGTAAATACTCTTAAACAAGAGAGAATGGTTCGAATTCTTCCTGGTATCTAGCCCTTTCTGAAGGTAAGTTGTGATAGGGAATTTCTTAGTCTTTTGGGGTTGCCATCAAAAATCCCACAAATGGAGTAGTTTACAAGAACAGAGATACATTGTCTCATAGTTCTCCAGGCTAGAAGTCTGAATTTAAGGAGCTGGCTAGGAAGATTCTAGAGGAAATATCCTTCTTGTCTTTCCTAGCTTCTGGTACACCTAGGTGTCCCTAAGCTTGCAGTTGTAGTATAACACAAGTGTTGTTATTAAGTGCCATAGAGTTGGTTCAGACTTATAACGACCCTGTATAGAGTTTCCAAGGAGTGGCTGGTGAGTTTGAACCACTGGCTTTGCGGTCCATTGCTTTATTCCACGGTGCTACGTCAGGACTACGTAACTCCGTAGACACATGTCTTCCATCCCTCTCTTCCCCTCTCTTATAAGGATGCCAGTCAGATTGGATTAGGACCCACCTTACTCCAGGATGACCTACCTGTTCACTTAGCTGATGACATCTGCAAAGACCCTATTCCTACACTTGGTCGAGTTCACTGAGGTTAGGACTTCAGCATATTTTTGTGGGGGACACAATTCAGTCCATAACAGGGAGGTAGAAAGAGGATCAGGTGATGGTCCTACAGTGGAGAAGAAGGAGGCAGTGAGAATGGGGAGGTGAGGAGGAACCAGAAGAGAGATGAGGAGCTGTGATAATTCTGCGCCCGGAACACTTGTTGGGCTGTGACATCCCATTTGAGAGCCCCTAGGTCACACGTTTGAAGTAGGTATGGGTGGGTGGGAACTTGAACCTGTGAGTTCATGTGAAAAGGACACAATTATGTTTCTTAATTTTAAATTAACCTAAAATCTAACTCCAAGTCTCCCATCCCACCAGATTGATGGGAACGTTCGTTTTAATTCATGAAGCGTCCTTCTTCCCTTGAATCATAAACATTGATTTTTAAAGCAAGGAAACTGGCCTTCAGAACAGTGAGAAGACTTTCCCAGGGTCATATGACAATTTAGCAATTGAACCAAGCCTGAACCCAGGTTGCTTGATTTTCAGTTCAGTACTTTTTCTGCTGAGGTGGGTGGAGCAGGTAACTCAGAAGTAGACAGGGCTGAAACAGAAGTATAGCAGCCTATAATGCCTGAGCCTGCTTTCTGCCTCACTGGCTTGTCTCCTGGTAGCTTGTGAATCAGATCCTATGCCTTTAGGGAATTCTTCTTCTTTGGGAGTGGACTGTAAAGTTTCCAGGCCTGTTAAGCTAAATCTCTGTCTGATACTTGGCAGCCAGCTCCATTTAAAGGAAAAAAATGAGTTTAACTGGCCTCACTGTCTAACCCACTCAGGTTTCCTTGACCATCACTACACCCTAATACCTTTTGACACAAGGAACATGGGCCTGCCGAGTTCTCTCTCTGTGTCCCTCTCTCTGGTGTCCCGTCCCTAAATGGCAACCTCTATTTTGTGTAACATGACCCTATGCAAAAACTGCTAGTCCTATTGTGTTTGCACAGCCAGATAGTGGGATTCCTTAGGCCAGGGTATGCACAGCAAACAGTACCAGCCAACACCCTGGGATCATCAAGCACTTTGCAATCACATGATCTTGATCTCAACAACGTCATTACTAATGGAACTAAGTAGTGTGGGGCCATGGAAATGGTGGTACCAGTTTTGGATTTCCATTTTAACTCATCTGGTACTAATGGAATCATTTTGGGATTTTCCTTTCTCCTCCCTAGTGTCTTTCAAACTCTAGGCCTTTTTCTTCCTTTAGAATGTGCTCAAGTCTGTCCTCCCACAAGACTCAAACAATTATGGGTTTTCTTCTCTTGATCTGAAATAGTCTCTCAGGAACCCTGTTCTTTCCTGGTAACATGCCTTTAGTGTAACCTTGGACAAAATACATATCTCTCTGAAGATGTACTAATAGTGCTTACTTTTTTATTTTGTGTGTAATACGTATAAACAGTTCTGGTGTGACACTGTAGGATAAGCACTAGACTGCTAACCACAAGGTCAGCAGTTCAAACCCACTGGCCAACCCTATATAGCAGGAGTGGGGAACATCCAGCCCGCAGACCATATGAGGCGTGCGACATCATTTGGTCTAGACTTACCAAGGTAACTATAGCTCCAGCCATCACATTGTTGTTGTTGTTGTTGTTGTTTTGTGCTCACAAATTGGTTTACATAGCATTTCTGAGGAGTGGCTGGTGAATTTGAATTGCTGACCTTGTAGTTCAAACTGACCTCGTGGTCCAGAGCTTATCCTATAGCACCATACCAGAACTTAAGGGTGAGTTAGTTAAATGTTTGACCAAATATAGCAGGCTAATTCTTAAGTTGATAATATTATATAATATTCTTATATTTTATAAATATACAAATGGCCCTTGGCAGAAAAATGGTTACCCACCCCTGCCATATAGGCCTTGATGATACTTAACACACACACACAATATGTACAAGGGTGCC